AAATATTCAATATATGATAAAATTGTTCTTGGGCATACATCCAGTAATTAAAAACAGTTTTATTGAAAGAAAATGTTTTTATTAAGAAAACATATGTTTCGGGTCTTGATTAAACCCATCCACAGAAAAATATAAATTAAAACATGTAAAAAAGCATAAATCTCACCAATTTAATAAATTAAATAAATCAAAACAATTTCTTTCAATAAAACTGTTATTAATTACTGGATGGATGCCCAAGAACAATTTTATCATATTATTTCACCATCTGAAGAAAACCCTCTCGCTTTATATATATATATATATATATATATATATATATATATATATATATTGTGTAATTTCAAGTTAATGTTTATAATACATAGTGTAGTGCATTACCATATCCTAATACCATGAATTATTAAAATTTTCCAATTTAACACTAAGATCAACTAATTGTAAGTACTAATTACTATTTTATCTTTTCTTTTCACTCTAATTCAATTGTTTTAGTTTTTAATTTTATTTTTAGTTTCCACCGAATGAAGGCTAGGATTATAGCCGAAACGTATGGATTTAAAATAAATTTTTGAAAGAAATTCATGTTTTTTATTGATATTATGCCCGATTATTAGACTTTGTTAATATATATATATGTATATATATCTGATATATGTATATATCATATATATATATATATATATATATATACATAAGTATTAAATATCGAATATTTAAAATAAAGTACTACATATCAGATGTAATATGATAAATGCCTGTATATATCAGAAATATGTTCTTTGACTCGCTTTGTATAAAACATGCTTTGCACTTACATTGTTCGATATCCTCTACAGCAGCTCCCAGAGCACTAACTCATTACTCGAACCACCTCTGGAGCATCTGCCAGAAATCTCAAGTACTCGACACAAAATCACTACTTTAGAACCACTACATAACTTTAGTCTTTTACAAGTCAATTTGACCTGTTGCAATTGTCCGAGTAAAGTCTTTACACAATACACGACACACGACTTACATTAGAGACTTTCGTGAATTTAGAATTCGATAATAAAGAGATATGTGTTGGAAGTACTCAAATATAAATTATACATTTTACAATTGCATATATATAAATAAAGGATACATTGGCGCTGTAAATGAATTAATAACCTACAAAAGCACATATATAAATTATACTATTGATAATTGCATATATATATAAATAAAGGATACATTGACGCTGTAAATAAATTGTTTAATTATAAGATTGACTCAAAATGAAGGCCCTGAAAGAGATACTTATCAAACTATTCAAGGACACCAAGGCACTTCTACACATATCCATTTTTTGGCTTTTAATTAACGTTTCACGATAAATTTATTATATCAAAATGATCTACTAAATTAATTACACGTTTTGATGCTTAAATTAATTAAAACTAATCAAGGATTTAATTAAAAATCATAATTAACCCGACCGCGTGTTAATTCACGAAAATTTCTTTGGAAGTTATCAACATGTGTCAGAATGACTGTCACCTCTTGTACAATTTAAAGCGCGAAATTCAAACAAAAAATTTATTATTTGCGAAAATTCTCCAGTTAAAATTGTTTTATGAAATTATTTTGGCTTATTAACTTCCCGTAGGGTAATGGGTAAGTTATTGTAATGGGCCGAAAATCGGAATTGAAAATTTTTACATTTCTCGACGTTTTGAAGGTTTCTGAACATTTTGTCATACCTCAGAAAAAATGGATGTGTGTGTGTATGTATGTATGGATACAAATTTCCAGTCACGTTTTTGGGCGCACGGATCAACCGATTTGAATGGTTAAAAAAACATTCGATTCCTGTTGATAGGGAGAAGAGCTGATTAGTTTTTGGCAAAGGCAGGTCCAGCAGTTACGGAGATAAAGAGCAAAGAGTGCAGAGTATAGAAATCGAGTTTTTGAGAGAACGGAGTATCCGATTTGAATGATCTAAAAAACATTCAATTAGTAATGATTGGGAGAAGTGATTATTAGTTTTTCGCAAAGGCAGGCCCAGCCATTTCGAAGATACGGAGCTAAATGTACAAAAAATGACTGTTTTCGAGAGAACTAAGCGTCCGATTTAATTGCTTCAAAGAACTTTCTGCTTATCTTAACAAAATAATTGATTTTGTAAAAAAAAATTTTTTGTTTCAACTTTTTTTTTCAAAAAAATTTTTATTTGTATAGTATAAAAAATTTATATAGTATAAATCTATGAACACAACCAATTTCTATCAGCGCCTAGTGTCATTTTCTCAAACTATCGCTAGTCTACATCTGACAATCACTTGACACTCTTGACAGCTATTGTTTGGCTATTGTTCATATTGTTTTGTCTCATTATTGTTAAGATAATGTAACATTTTACAAGTGAAATAAAAAATGAATATTAGTTATAGTTATTGTCATGATTATATAGGTAATGCGATATATGAATAAGACACTCGTTATTATTGGTGAATTTCGTGTTATTCTTGGCAATTAAGAACAACATACGCTCAAACTAGTTTACATTAACACTATATTGATGATTTCTCTACATTACGTGAGGTTTAATATATATAATGACGGGTCCTATAAATATTTCTTCAAATGATGCTACAACCGAATTACCTCCTTTAGATCAGGATCATTTCTGTAAATTGATTTTGTACTTAGAAATAGCCAATACAAGGTAAGTTTTAACGAATACAAGGCTACATGCCATGAATTTATATCGTCTATCGTTTTATTTTTTACAGAGTTCGGATTTGGGATTTAATAATACTAGTACCCAATGTAATATTTTTTATATTTCTTCTTATACGATTTAATCGAGCACGTTTAAAGTTACGAGCAACATCAAGTCCAATATTTCTTGCTTTCTATGGCCTTGTGTGGGTAAACATATTAATTAGTGTTTTAAGATGTACTGTATCGATGACAGTGAATGCCGCTGCACCAGTAGGTGGCTTAGCTGATAAGGTAATAAATGCAGAAAATGAATACTGTCCACAAAAATCTTTTCGTAATAATATTATAGGTTCTTTGGGTGATGGTCAGATTTTTTCTACTGGCTACAGAAATGAGTGTTGTTATCTTTGGACTAGCTTTTGGTAATGAATATATCGCAAATTATTAAATAAGTTGTTATTGACCATATTGAACCTAACTTATACACATACCTAATATTTAATATTTATTTATATAGGGCACTTAGATAGTCATAGCAGTATTAGACATGTGTTTCTTGCAACATCATGTATATCTCTGGCCTTCACAGTTACCCAAGGTGTTTTAGAAATAGTTCTACCAGATGATTCATTTCATATAGCCAGCCGTGATTTTGACTTATATGGCCATGGAGGCATGCTTTTTTGGTTTTGTAGCAGTATTGTTTTTACAGCACTTTATGGAGCTGTCTTAATTTTACCTTGGACAAGGCTAAGAGACAGACTGGCCTTACCAAGTATGATTTGATGAATTAATTTTATATAATTCGAAACTGTTTAAACATATGTTTAATATCTATATAATAGTAAAAACTTAACTATTTTCAATGAAATCTTTTTTCTTTTTAGCTAAGAGATCTTTTTACTTTTATGTTTTTATTTTGTGTTTTAACGATGGTCTTCAATCAGTTGGTGCTGGTTTATTAAATTATGATGTTCCTGAAGGTTTATGTATAGTGGATGTGACTACTGGATTGTATTTTACAATGTATACCCCATTTGTTTACCTCACTTTCTTAAGAGAATTTTTTGGGTATATTTGGTTGAAATCAATTAACATTGACATCACAATAGATTTTCAAGATTAATTATATTTCAGAATATCTCAGCCTACTGTTATGTTTTCATACAAAGCTCAAGTAGATGATGTCATGGAAGATGATAATGTGTCTCTGCCACATCAACAATCATTTAGCTCATTAAAAACAGACTCTGATTATATATATCAAGTAATAAATAATTTTCACATTCACCAGATACAAAAATCATCTACTTACATCTTTTTGTGCTTTTCCAGAATAATAGTGTATATGACAGCACACAATTTGATAATACAACCCCGATGAATCCTTTATATGCGGCCTCTCTGCAAAGCCCAGACAGTATAACAGGTTATAGCATTACTTCTAGTCATAGCCTAGATATATCAGGTCCAACACAAGGATATCAACACCCATTCGGAAAGTGATTTTCAGATTTGAAACTTACCAATGCTAGTAACAAAAACTATTAATATAGGTATTAATAGTGTTTACTATTAAGGGAATGATAACAAAGGTTCAAAGATCTTATTTGACATTTAAAAATAATTAGGATTAACATGCACTTTTCTGCCAAATAGTATTAATTTAAATAGCGGTATTGACTTGTTATAAGCAGGTGATATGCTTTAGACTCACTTATCCATGGTAGCATTACTGATGATAGAAGAAAAGTGCAAATTACTCATGTAATATTGATTTAGAAGGGTTTTAATGCGTATTAATATCACTTTAGTGGAGAAGGTTAGTTTTAGTAAATGATGTGAAATATTTTTGACTGTGATTTATGAAACAAAGATTGTATCTATTCTCAATTTTATTATTTATTCTCATTTAATTTTAAAACTTTCTAGGGTAATCAATATAATAGTAAAAACATAACTATTTTCAATGAAATCTTTTGTTAAATACAAATATTTAAGAAATAAAATATGACTTAATAATACTAACAGTTTTAATTTTTTTTCAATACACTTATAAGATATAAAGAATGTTTAAATTTTTGTATAATAACAATTCTCTTATAAGAATATCACACTAAAATTGTTGTTACATATCACAAATCATTTTTGTGTAAATATTAAAATTATGTACACTTATTGCATATAATCATTCTTTCTATTGACATTAAGTAATATCAAATTATTTGATATGAATTATATTTTCTTATTACAATTTACTGTAACATGAAAATATTTTGAAGTCGTGCACGAATCTATTTTAATAAACAATAGAAATACAGTCATACCATTCAAAAGAATGTTTACTGTTCCTTTATCGCACTTAACACATTCGGTTTCCCTGGCTGATTTTCCTTTACAAGTATTGGTACTGAGCAGCATAAAGAAGTTGAAAACGATTAAATTATTATTAAAGGCATGAATGTTTCAAAATATTCAAAATTAGTTAAAAACCTTAAACACTATAAATAAGTAAAAATTTAATGTTTTCTCATTTCAATTACTTATAAACCTTATAAAATACAAATTTTGTTAACAAATTGTTTATAGGTATTGGTATTCTAGCCTCATGTTCAATGTTGTGATATTAGCAAACAAATGAGTAGTTTAAAAAAAAATCATTATCTGTACCAAGTGATATATTTTGTACAAACTATGTATAACTTACTTGTGTAAAATCACAGAATAATAAAGTCATTTTTGATGGTAAAAAAGACCATACTTACAAAATAATGAATATAATTTGCATTAGTTAATCTTGAAAATATTATGTATTATTGTCTATCTTACCTACACTGGATGAAGCTTGTGTTACATTACTATAATTATTAGACGTTTGTGATTCACTACTTGAGCCAAATATCACATTAGCTGCTAAAGCACTAGCAGATTGTGTTACTTTGGTAGGAATTGGTGTTGAAGTAGAACTGGTAAATATTGCTTCTAATTTATTTGGTGTATTAAGTGAATCATTTGATAGGAGTTTAATCTGTGATTGCATTTCCTTTGCTTGTGTGGCCATTTGTTGGGTGGAGCTCTTCGTTTCATTTAACTATGAAATAAAAAATTATTGCAATTAACTCTTTTTGTGATTATGCTTGTTATTATATGAGCCGTTCAGTGCACACATCGACTAACTCCACTTTTTGAAAAAACTGAGATATTAGTGGTAAAGAATTTGGTATAATCATAACTTTTTATGATTATAATAATTTTCCAAAAGAATGAAAATTGCCACTGTGAAACGAAAATTTTTTTTGACCACTGAATCCATAAGTCATTTATTTCAGAAGACATTTTGATTAACTCCATTCGGTAGTGTATATGTTCTGGTTGGGTTGGATTTCGGGTTTCAAATTCATGAATTACGAATAAGAACACAGAACTGTAGGGTGTTGTGAGTCTCGAAAAAAATTCATCTAGTTTTATAAAAGACATCGAAGAAGTTACAAACTTTGAAAAAATAACATACTAAAATTCGTGTACCCGGCAAAACAAGAATATTAAAACTGCCTGAAGTTTATTGAAACTTGTTCAAAATACGGAAATAAGAGCTAACTTAATTAAAAATAAATTTCTGGTCGGTGAAAAAATAGTTATTAATCTATTAACTCAAGATTTTGTTATTATTGAGTCACGTGCGAAATAAATCGAGACATAATTTTACCAGATTGTTGATACAATATAATAAAAACATTTAAGAAAAAAGCGTCATTGTAGCTAAGCCGAATGCTTCACTAAGATTTTTTATCTATTTTTTATTTATTTAGAACAATAAATCAATAACAGAAAAGTAACCATCACAGGGTGTCCAGAAAATTGGCCTAAAATGCGCTGAATTTAGAATAGAAAGGTCCAAACCCAACGATATACAATTTAAGTGTGACTGCAATGAAGATCCGAATTTTAAAAAAAAATTCCAAGTTTAAAAAAAGTTGAAAACTTGATTAACTCCACAAGTCATATCAAAACTTTAACTTTAATGATAATTATTTTCTCACTATTAATAGTTATAAATCTTATTTACCGTTACATGTAAGCTATATATGTATTTGTACGTTCTAAAATATATTTTTCAATTTATATTATAACAGGAATTTTTAAAAGCAATATACATTACTTTATCGCTTTTCTCCACTTTCTGACTTTCAGAGCTAGTCGATGTGTGCACTGAACGGCTCATATATGATATCAAAAAAATATGTTTAATAACTAATCTTTATTTCGTTACCTTCTGAGAAAGATTACCAACAGACTTTTCAAGATTTTCCATTTTCTTAACAAAAGTTGTTTGACTTTCTTGCAGGGTTGCTATCTCGGTGTCTACTTTGACTTTGTTCTCAAGCAAATTTTCAATTTTTGCCTGTAATATAACAATGTCAGATAAAATCCTTGAATTATTCAATATAAATGTGTTAATATTCTACAAGCATGAGGAGATGATAAACGGCATTGTGTATGTACAGTAGAAACTCGATTAACCGAACTAATTGTTGTCGATGGGTATTCGGATAATCGAATGTATAAAGAATAATGTTGTGTATTTATTAAAAATAACAATTACGTAGATATCAACGAAAATCAATGTTTATTAAGAAGTTAACACTTCCTTATGAATGTACATACATAGTTTCTTAGATTACATTACATACAAATACTAAACTGCAGTATTAATCATGCAAAAATTCAAATTGTAGGTATGTATAAATCGCGAATTCGTATAATTGAAGTCCGGATAAACGAGGTTCTAGTGTATCATCATAATGCGTACATAGTTAAAAATGAATATGCGAATGCATAGTTATACTTACTTTATTAGATTTTTGTTCATCAGTTGTCCATTGTAATTGCTTAGATAAAGTTGTATTCGCTAATATAAGTTGTTGTTTAGTTAATTCTATATCACGCATTAGTTGCTCCCTAGCAGCAGCTTGCTCGCGCTGATCCGGTAACTGCAAAGCTGCCGTGTTAGCTTTGCTCTGGTTAGTCATTTGTGCCTGGTAATAGGATAGAAGAGAAATTTTTTTAAAAATAAATAATTACAATTCACGTCATTTAAAATACTTAATTATTTTAATTTATACAATAATGACGGTTATTTAGCAAACAATATTTTTAACTTCCCGTATGGTAAGTTATTGTAATGGGCCGAAAATCGGAATTGAAAATTTTTACATTTCTCTACGTTTTGAAGGTTTCTGAACATTTTGGCATACCTCAGAAAAAATGGATGTGTGTGTGTGTGTATGTATGTATGGACTTTCTGTTTGTCTTAATAAAATAATTGATTTTGGATTTTTTTTTTTTTTTTTTTTTAATTTTTTGTATATCGAAAATAATTCAGATCTTATTTTTATTCTGAGTTCTAATATACTTTAAACAAATAATTTCAACTTTGCAATTCAGTTTATATAATTCTTATAAATATTAGACAATGTTACAATATTTATAATAATCTATTTGAAAACATTCAGTATTCCTCGAACATTTCGTTACGGTACGGGAAGTTCCAGCAATTTGCCTTAAGGCACGATGCCACCCCACTAGTTATATGTGGTTTCGCATTTCTATCTATTAGGTTTCTTGTTTGGCACCTAAAGTAGTTCGTAGTGATGATATAAGCTTGATTTTTGGATATATCAAAATTTTTATTTCGCCTATACTTAACGCGTTAAGTATTGTGAAAAAACTTCCGATTTTTTCTGCTCATTATATATGTTCGGTTTTTTTTTTCTAATTTGTTTTTTATGCACACGCATTTTTGTGATACTCAATTGCAGTATTTTGTTGTTAGTTCAAGAAAGAGTTTACATTTTAGCTGTTATTTTATATAATTTAATATATATTAAACTTAATTGTCAAAAATAAATGCTTCATTATTGAGAGTTAACTTGAAATTTTTACTAAATGCGAAATATTTACCAATGATTATTATTTTTATCATTATTTTGCATATTTACAAAAAAATGATTCATGATTATTGACTGGTTAGTTGTATCAATATTAGTGCAAAATTTTGTGCTATGTACACATTTTTAGATGTAAAATACCAAGTTCAATATCCACGGATGATGACATGGATAATAGATATCAATTTGGAAATATGAACAAACAACACTCTTTTTTGCACTAATTTATTAAATAATAATTTTCACAAACGTTTCGAGACTAGGTTTGTCTCATCATCAGTGTGTTCAGACAAACCTAGTCTCGAAATGTTTGTGAAAATTATTGTTGTTTGTTCATATTTCCAAATTAATATATATATATATATATATATATATATATATAACGAAACGTCGATAATAAATGAATAAATAAATAAATAAAGAAATAGTTTATTAAAAAACTTTTTTTGTTTGTTTTTTATTACTTTTTGGATTCTTGTTCGAAACTACAAAATATACACAAATCCAAGACTCTACCATTTAATATATATATATATATATATATATATATATATATATATATATATATATGATTTAGTAGTTAATTTTGATGTTCAAATATATAAGTGAGTTCTTGAGAGCGATACATCAAATAAAGAAAAGGCAAAGATTTATAAAATGATCTTTAATTCCAATTGGTATTGATATTTATTTAAGGTACCTGCAAAGTCGTTATATTCGATTTTAACAAATCTGATGTAGTTTGCATTCGATTTCCCTGGTCTTTAAGGCTGCCTACAGTAGCTTCTAAGTCTTTTATTTGAGATCCGAATTGAGCTACACTATTTGATAGATCACTTAATTGTTGAGGTACTTTAACAAGTTCAGGAGACGATTTCAATTTTGATTTAATAGCGTCCAGTTCAGATTGCACCGCAAATAACTATAAATCATATAACATAAATAACATACAAGCTTCTTTAGTTCATTTTATAAGTGCAAAAATTACTTGTTGAGTTAGATTCGTTAGTCTTTCAGACAAATCGTCCGTTTTTCCTGCAAGCATTGTTTGATTTGCTGCAAGATTCCGCGTCGTTTCATGGCACTGTTGTAAAGCTTCGGGTACACCTTTGCTGCCAGCCGATACTGTAAAGAAAGACAAAATAATAACTACATATAAATTAGGGTTGTTTTCATGATTTTATAATAAATTATGAAAAGTGAACAGTTCTCTTCATAAACATTATGGAATTGTCGTTGACCAAGATACTGAAGCGATTACTTCAAATATGCGTAAAAGCCAAGCCATCAATGCCAATACAAATACATACTAGAACGCTAATAAATATTCTTAAAACAAGTAGTGCAACAAAAGATAAAAATATCATTTTAGCTATATCAATCTGAATTATATAAATTATTTTGTTTCATTCTTTAACATTTAATTTCGAACGACATGTTATTTAAAAGCCACTATTATTAGTATATGTTATTCATTTTTTGCAGTAATGATTTATAATTGATCAGATAAATTAAATATTAATTCATAAAAGTTTCTACAATATTTGCAGATCGCTGAACTAGTATGTCACTTGAACCTGAAACGAGTATATCGATATAGACTTGAGTTGAGATGAAATAACTTGCTCTACCATAGATTATAAAAAAGTATTTTGGCTTATTAGGACAACCTGAGGCGCAATTTTATTATATATTGTTTCTCATGTTTATCACGTTTTCAATTTCGCACCTAATTCGACCTGTTGTCTCAGCGATGCCATTTGAACGCGTACGTCTGCAAACAACCAGAGGGCTGCGCATGCCGCCAACAAACAGGCGCACAACAGAAGAATTTTACAAGCCCTTCTCGAGGCTCGGCAAGCCGCTCCGTTCGCTTTGACTCCACAAAGCCACCAACTACGTTTAGACCTAGATGATTTAGATATTGATGCATCGTGTGTGTCCATTTCCTCCTGCTCGTCTGTAGATGGTACAAGAAGAGGCCTCTCTCTCCTAGCAGCACATCCGCGAGCCGACACCAACATTGCGTCTAAATCACGCCTTTTTCGCATCTTTTTACCGCCCGTTCGTAATGGTACAATCACGTGTTGGCCGCCGTTAACACTAACAGCCCCTGCACACTCCATAGCTGCACTTTTTATTAATTAATGTTCAAGCGAGATATTTGATCACTGTTTCACAATTTACTACAATAGTTTATTATTCCCATTTCACTCATAACTAATAAATTTAAATGTCTTTTTACTCATATTATTGTTTTATTAGACCTTTTCAAATAATGATGTAATTTTAAAAATATTTGTTAATAATAGTTATTACATATTATTTTAAGTTTTAAAACATAATTTCATAGTAGCGAATAGATCGTTTCTACCGTTTCTTTTAACAAACGAATAAAACTAAAAATGTATAATTGGAAAATACGTGAGTTCAATATTTTTGCTCATTTATGAATGTTTCAATTATATTACTTCGTAAAATATCAACAATTTTATTGATATCGGAATTGAAATACGATCATATATACTAAACATTTTAAATATAAAAATAAATATAATATATATTATGTTAAACTAAAGTTAATATTCCATTTACCAAGTTCATCGACAGCTCCATGGTGATAAAATTCTAAAAGTTGTTCATCTTTACGCATAATTCAAATTTACGATTATCTTTGTTGAACACATTTTGAAAGATAACAAAATTTTCATAGCTTTATGAAAGAAAACCAATTTGCATTTGTTTTCTAGAATTGTCAAAATAGAGGTTAAATATTTATATAATGCCATATTGGATATTCTTAAAGCTAAAAATAGTAATTGTACTAATATTTTATACATTTGAATTAAATTGTGAAAAAGTTTATAGAATAGTACCCAAATATGAACATTCAGCTTTCGACCCTGTGATAGTGGATATGAACATGTATCCTTATATAGTATGTGCGAGTATTTGAGATAATATCAAAGATTATTAGCATATTGCGTTAATTAAACTTACAAAAATAGGTATCTCTACAGAGAAAGAGATTGCATAAAAATGATATACATTTTTGTTCTGGGACTATGGTAACGACAAGATTAGGATTGTCTGCAGCACATTGTGTAAAATGGATGTAAGTCAAACGACTATCCATCTTTATATTAGTAAATTTACATAAAAAATATTATCAGAAGTTGGTTAATATTTAATAACTTTATTGCACATATTGGTTTCAGTTGGTAACTTCAAATAACCGTCTTTATAAAATAAGCTGGTAGTATCGTTTACAACACATATTTAAAACGATATAATACGCATAATTATTGAGAATCAATATTTTGTGAACGCAAATAAGATCCAGCAGTAAATAGTTAAAAAACTAATCATCTCATTCAAGGAAACCAGATAGGTCGATAGGAACAATATTGCCGGAAGAGTGCACGGCGGTCTCCGGAATTCCAATACCAAACTTGGCTTCGGAATACAAATTCGAGATGCGACTACCGGTGGAGAGCTTTCGTCTTCATCACCAATATGATCCAAAAGCTCTTTCTTATGACATTATGTACTTTAAGGTAGAAACAAGATTAACAGCAATTAATTGATATTTATAATATTTACTAAAATAATTTAAATATCGCGATTATTATATATTTCAGATTAATCGAAAATTAAGACTATTATAAGTATGCAAACTTTCATATAGTTGTCACATTTCAGTACTCCGAAACACTTAAACATAAGCTGTTTAAAATATTTAACAATACATTACTTAATAAATACAATTGATTTAGTCAATAAAAAAAGTTAAATGCCACTCGATTCAAATCTGTATAGACATTATTAATGATTAATATTTATTTAATCACAATAATTAGAATTATTTGATACGAGAAAAAAAGTTCTAGGCTGTAATAAAATAGATCATAAACTACAGTATTTAGAATAAATATATGCTTGAATTTTTAATAGATAGAAAATGCGAGATAAAATTTTAATTATAATTCCTTAATAATATTGGAATTTTATGACGATTATTTTAAATGATTAAGAAAAGGTGTCTATACCCTGAGTTTTCATCATTTTTAATCTTATTGATCTTAAATACTTAAAAAAAATCTAGAATGCTCAATCTATTGAATAATTTTTTTTGTGCAAAAAATGCATGTTAATTTTATTTTTATTATTCGAGAGATGGTAAGAGATTTTGAAATGCCGTATACATATCTTCCCAAGATTCCAAGCAACAAAGCTATAGACCCGCTACTTAGAGGTGAACAATAAATTAATTAATTAATCAATATACATCATATATATTTAGTAATTACAAAATATTTTATGAATTACTTAGATAAAGAATGTTTAACCATATATTGGCCGAATAAGCATTCATCAACAGATCCGTTGATGAGAATTCAAATGAACGAATCAAAACAATCCCACGCTCGCACTCAAGAAGAATGCGAAGATTGTAAAGAAAATTTTAATATGAAACAATCTTATATACCCATTGTAAATATCAAAGAAGAGAACTATCAAAAAAACTATATAGAAATCCTAGCAAATAGAACTAACAGAAAAACTTTAGAAAAGATACTTCGAAGAAGAAGTAAAATTGCAAACAAAATAAATGGTGGGTTACTACAAATCGTTCTTTACATTTTATAAATAAAATAAAATTTTAGTCTATGTTTTCAGCTAATAAATTAGCAGTAATTACAGTGAAGCCGATAAATCTAAATAAATGCCACAAATATTTTCCGGAAACTCTTTCTAGTGTTCATGATGTGGTGTGCACCTTGCATCCAGGAGGCGGAAATAAAAATGCTTGTTTTGTAAGTTTTAAGTTATATTAAATAGTATATCATTGTAAAAAATGCAATAAGTACGGTAATAAATCCCTAAATAAAAGTAGGCAAAATCATAAAAAGAATACATAATCTGCAGGACTTCCCTTTATTGTTGTGTGTTGCAGTATTATGCAGAGAAGTGTAATTCCTCAAGCTAAAATTGATTTGTAAAATTCAAAAATTTTAACTTTCGAAACTATTGTATATAGAACTGTATTTCGATTTTTATTTGAAATTGTGTATAAAGTTTTTGAGTATTCAAACAGCAATACTACTTGAATTTTTTAAATTTTGAGATTTAATTGCAGTAAAATGATCTATTTTCACAATTTTTCATTTCAATGATTATTCCTAATTTTCAACAGTATATAGAATAGCTTCTCTTATGTTATTTAATCTAATGAACTGCATGATAAAGACCTTATAAAAATATAAAACTCTATCGGATAACGCTGAAGTAAGTTCATAAAAAAATAATTTTAGTTAACGAGACACGCTCAGAAAGTGGGATTACCTATAGGTTTAATTTTCTTTCAAAATGTTAATTAAATATATATCTTGTAACAAATAAATGAGATGTCTTATACCAGGCTGACCATGGTGCTCCCTTATTATGCGGATCTGGTTCCGATGCGAAATATCTCTCGGGAATTGTTTCTTTCGGAACAGGCTGTGGACGTATTTCGACGCCTTGTGTATTTACATTAGTCAGCAAGGTACGTTGCTCAATTTCTAATTAAACTAATTACTTGTTACACAATTATAAACAGGTAGTATTATTATAAAAATTAAATGGCGTCATGTATTTTTATCATGCCAGAAAAATTAGAAACACAAAGCTCGAAACTGCTACTCTCGGAGAAACAAATTTCAAAAATGTAATAAATTTTTAAATGGTGATTGAAATAAGTATTTTTTGCTTATATGCTATGTGTAAATCAGTTTCCATATACTTTATTTACATGACATGATTTTAATTTTAGTATTCAACTTGGTCAAAAGTCCAGAGTAAACGTTTGACTTCAAACGCCGAAGGAAATGCCTTAAATGTAATTTTGTTTATAGTTATTATAGTGACTAATATAATTTGTATTTAAATAATTGGCGTAATACGCCTCAACTTATAATAAAGAATTTATTATATTAAACTTACATTATATTAAACGGTAGGAATATTAAAAATTATGAATATTTCATGTTTCATAATGAATTTTGTAAATAACAGGTATGTTAATATTTACTCTTAATTTGGAAATACCTAAGTACGCACTGACGATAGACATAATAAAAATT